CTGCGCAAAAAGGGCGGGATGCGATCGAAGGGGGAGGCGGGACAGGGGGGATAGGAGGGGGGGATGCGATAGGGCGGGATAGGGGGGATACGATAGGGGGGATGCGGTAAAGCGGGATAGGGGGGATGCGATAGGGCGGAACAGGAAGGAGGGATGCGATGGGGCGTGAGTTGAGGAAGGGCGGGATAGGGGGGGATGCGGTCGGAGGGGGCGGCGGGGGAGGGGGCGACGGAGGCCTAGAAAGGTTGGGAGGGGGCGACGGAGGCCTAGAAAGGTTGGCACCAACACCCACCGCGACAACCACCTCCATTCCTCCTCCTCCTCCTCCTCCTCCTCCTTCTCCTCCTCCATGTCTCCTTCTCCTGCTCCTACTGCCCCTCCTCCTACTCCTCCTCCTACTCCTCCTCCTCCTCCTCCGCCTATTCCTCCTCCTCCTCCTCCTCCTTATCCTCCTCCTCCTCCTCCTACTACTACTACTCCTCCTCGTCCTCGTCCTCGTCCTCTTCCTCCTCCTCTTCCTCCTCCTCCATCTCCTCGCGACAACAACCTCCATTCCTCCTCCTCCTCCGGAGGAGGTCCCCCCCGACCTCGGCGATGGCGAGATTTCCTGTGGACTCCAGGAATGCGGGAAGAACGAGTACAGTGCCCAACAGATAATGCCCGAAGCCGACAGCGGCCGCTGTTGGGCAGGCGGCTGTTTGTCTTCAGTGAACCAACGTCCTCCACGACGCGGAGAGCGAGTCCAGTTCTAAATCAATGGGATCTGCATGGGTATCATACACATTATTTTCGTACCTATTTCGATCGTCCTGGACCTCAAGCACGAGAGGTGCCCTGAAGACCACCAGCCGGCACCACAGTCGAGATCCTGATTCCCCCACGGAAGGGCGGACCTGGAATGCGGGCGAACGGGTGCCAACTGTCGGACACCCTTGCGGAAGAGCAGGAGGTAAGGAAGGGTGAAGGGCAGGAGATGAGGAGGAGGAGGAGGAGGAGGAAGAGGAGGAAGAGAAGGAGGAGGAAGAGCAGGACGAGGCGGAGGAAGAGTAGGAGAAGGAAAAGGAGGAAGAGGAGATAAGACAACGCACGACTGCGAAACCGCAGCTCTCGCCTTGTCTCGAGGCGGACAGTGGCAGGAGGAGGGGAAAAGGATGAGAGAAGGAGGAAAGAGGGGCAGGAGTTATGTTGCTTCCATCGTACTTAAGGACCAAGTCCCAAAAGTACTTTCGAGCACCCAGAAATGTGTGGAAAGTGTCGAACGAGTATCGCCTCCCAGAGCCTGACATGTGAAAACCCTCCAGTTTCGGTACTTCTTGGTGCTCTGATGATTCAGGCAAAAGTAGGTTGGAGCATCATCAGGCAGGTGGAGGAAGAGGAGAGGAGAGGAGGAGATGGGCGGGAGGGCGCGAGGAAAGCGGGAGACAAGGGACGGGAGTGCGGGAAAGGGGCGGGGGGGAAGGGCAGGCGCGACGGTGGAGCGGGATGGGCGCGTGCCGGATGGCATTATCATGCTGGCGCGTGGGCCCCTGATGTTATGGTCCAGAAGCGACCCCCCCGGTCCGTTCTGAGAGTATAGCAGAATCTTGCGAAAAGGCTCGCGCAGGCCTCGCGTCTATGGGAACACGACTTTTGCACACCACCCCCACCAAGAAGCTTGTCTGGCACAAGACCATGGAGAGGGGGTTGTTGGCATCCCCTGGGGACACAATTTTTGTACACCACCCCGACGAATAAGCTGATCTGGCGAACAATTTCGCGCGCGGGGGCGGTGGCGAGTCGTCGTGGAGAGGCTTTTCCTGGCGGGCCCCAGTCAATGACGTTCCGCAGGGCTGGGCGGGACTGTCCATGGGAACTACTGGTGCGGGGAACGGGCGAACGCGCGAAAGAGCGTACAGTCAACCCGTAGAATAGGGATGCGCGGTAAGGCTGCACGGGCCTTGGAGGGCCATATAGACGTTTTGTCCGAAGGAACTGGGCCAGGGAACGTCGCAAAGGATAGGCCGAAGGAGGAGGAGAAGGAGGAGGAGGAGGAGGAGGAAGAGGAGGAGGAGGGGGAGGGGGAGGAAGAGGAGGAGGAGGAGGAAAAGCAGGAGGAGGAAAAGGAGGGGGAGGAGGAGGGGGAGGAGGAGGAGGAAGAGGAGGAGGAGGAGGAGGAGGAGGGGAAGGATGCAAGGGTAGCCTTGGAGAGCTGCTCACGCTTACCATGCGGGCTCACTGCAAGCAGACGGGAGCAGCCCGAGAGCGGGGCAGCGGCCAAACAGCAGAGAGGGCCGGCGACGGAGAGGGCCTTGGCGGGGCCAGGCCAGAGAGCCGGCGGGGCTTGCAGTTGCCGGCAGCGGACGCGTGTTTTGTTCCTCTCGCCCACCTGACGGATCTGTTCGACTCTTTTTCGATTCCAGTTCGGCTCCAGCTCGACTCGTGTTCGGCGCAAGTTCGACGCACACTCGACTCGAGTCCACAGACGTTCGACGGCAGCACCGACGGATGAATGGAGCGAGTG